GTTACCACCTCAGAGGTAACTTCCTTGACCTCCCTATGATAGTAATTCCTCCTTCCCACCTCCCCAGTCACCCCTGACCCCCGACCCCCGACCCCTCAGTCTCTTTGCTTTCTTCCTGACTTCTTGGTTCACAGAACTTGGCACTACCTGATACATCAGTTACGTGCCCGTTTGACTCTTGTAAAATGAAAGCTTCACAAGGGCTTCCACCGTGATTGTGCTCTGTATCTGTACATAGTTGAGGATCATTATTTATATGCTTAATTAGATCTCCATTGATTGGATAAAGTCGGGCTCCAGAAGGGCAGATGAAAGCCGGCAAGCAGGGAATGAGAACTGGAAGAGCTTTAGTTTCCAGAAGCACCCCAGATAGCTCTACTCTTTTTCTTTTTCATCCCTTGGGTAGATTAACCAAAATGTCCTCCTTTTCTCTTCAGTTAGTTTGAATAAAATTTCTGTCAATTGAAACTGAAAGACCCCTGACTAATAGCCAGTTGGAGATTCAGTTTCAGGACCTGAGCAATTTTAGAGGGAGAACCATGAAACACCCCAACTCTGTGCACGGCACCCTAGAACATAGAAGTCCACACAACACAGACTTCTCACCTACCAGGTGACCTCTGAATGCACCATAGGCCACCGTTATTGTCAATATAATCAAAGACCTTTTCCCTCCCCTACTGAGTACTCTGTTCTTTGTGTGATTGTGTATTCCCTTCATCCCCTGCCTGAACAACTCAGACTCAGCTGCTTCTTACCCTTCTTGCCCTTTCCCTTACCCTTCCAGATTTGCAAATCATGCCAGAGTTGTGAAGGGAATTCTAATCTTTCAAAATTGATTTTTCCCAGTTTCTATCTCTCACACACACAAGAAGCAAATAATGCATGAACCACATTCTGTATTAATACTTTCATCCCTAATCCAATCTTAGAGCAGACTGATTATCCACTTATCCCCACCCATGAATGTTTTTATTCAAATGTTCATATGAAACTGCCACTTATTCCTGAATGCCTGAACTTCAAGCAAAGCTGATTACTTCACAGAACTCCATACACACTGAGCACACTGAAATCACCTGTGCAACAACCCATGGCAGTGTGAATAGGCAGGGAGAATTCCAGCTGCTAGAATTCTTCCCTGAACCTGAGGGAGCAAGCATAGGTTTTATGGCAATCTTCTCGCTATAACACTATTCTTGATATTTTGAGATTAATATAATGCACAGGAGCTGTCCAGTGCATTGTGTGATGTTTAGCAGCATTCCTGGCCTCTACCAGCTACCCAGTATGGCCACCAAATATTCCTCCAGATTTTGAAAACTGTCCCCTGGAATGTATGTGTTCAGAGAAGGATTAAGCCCAATTAAGAATCATGTATTCAAAAAAAGAATTTGTCTGATAACTCAAAAAATCAATTCTATCCAATGAGTATACTGCTATCTCTTCAAAATAGGCAGTAAAAGGTCCTGGGTAGGTGAGGGTACTGCCTCTTCTTTACAGCTGGAACAGTTTTTTGGTTTTTTTTTTTTTTTTTTTGAAATGGAGTTTCACTCTTGTTACCCAGGCTGGAGTACAATGGCACAATCTTGGCTCACCACAACCTCTCCTGGGTTTGAGCAGTTCTCCTGCCTCAGCCTCCGAAGTAGCTGGGACTACAGGCATGCGCCACCATGCCCAGCTAATTTTTGTATTTTTAGTAGAGACGGGGTTTCACTATGTTGACCAGGATGGTCTCGATCTCTTGACCTCGTGATCTACCCACCTCAGCCTCCCAAAGTGCTGGGATTATAGGCGTCAGCCACCACACCCGGCCTACAGTTGGACCAGTTTTAACAGGTCCTGGACTTTATGACCTGATAAGTGTCTTTTAGAAGTAAAGCTGGTAGATGAGTGTGATCTGTTTACAAATTTGAAATTTTAAGGGATCTTATTTTTTTCATAGCCGCTTCATTTCAGGTGAAACTCTATTTACGGTGCCTTTTGTGCGAGCTAGCACCTGGGCTTTCTTCTCAAACCTAAATTCCCAGTATTCTATCACATGTGTCCTATGCCCAGTCATATCAATCTTTTTTTATTCTGTGAGAACAATTTGCTTCCTTATCTCTCCATGTCATTCATACATTCATACATACTGTTCCCTCTGGCTAAAATATCTTTCCCAACCTTCCTTTGTTTTTTTTTTTTTTTTTAGGCAGAGTCTTACTCTGTCACCCAGGCTGAAACGAAGTGGTGCAATCTCTGCTCACTGCAAACTCCACATCCCAGGTTAAAGTGATCTTCTTGATTCAGCCTCCCAAGTAGCTGGGATTACAGGCACAAGCCACCATGCCTGGCTAATTTTTGTATTTTTAGTAGAGTTGGGGTTTCACCATGTTGGCCGTGCTGGTCTCAAACTCTTGACCTCAGGTGATCTGCCCGCCTTGGCCCCCTAGTGTGCCTGATCTTACATATTTTTTTGATATGTTACTTCTTATGACATTGAAAACTTCCTTTAATTCCTGTTCCTTCATGACATTCCCCATTCCAGCCTGCAGGTTTGTCTCCTCTCTGATTCACCTATTCCAATGCCTATTCTTATAAACATCAGTTGGGTTTCTTACCCATCTCCAAATGATGTACTTGAGAACCATATCATTTTACTTAGGCAGATCCAAATTTTGTGGGTACAGAAGTTTATGCAATCTGGGATGCCCTCTTTATAAAAAAAATACAATTTTAATAACATAAAATTAGGTATATTTATTGAGAACTAGGAAAGAAATCACAACAAATGCCTGAACTTTAAAGACCCAACTCTCTTTTTTGAAGACCTCTTTTGTTGATTTACCAGAAATGCTTACATAGAAATATTTCCTAATAGCAACCTGGCTTTTTCTGCCATCTAGAATGCTCTGTAGCTGTCAGTATCTCACAGAAACCTGTGCAGTTGAGGGTCCCCAGAGCCTAAGGCTCATTGTCTTTATAGCAAATCTGTCTTTAAAAAATGTATCTCTGTATCTCCAAGGCCCAGTACAATGGTTAGACAGTAGAAGGTACTTCATAAATGTTAGTGATGACAATACTGAATTTTATTTAAAGGTTAAGAAATTCTGTCACTCTTTTTTGTTCCAGAAAAAGACATTGCCAGAAACCACCCTTCCCAATGTGACTTAGACAAGATTCATAGATGACCCCCTTGCTCACATAAGGCAAGGCCAGAGGCTGACCCTCCAAATTCCCTTTCTTTGCCTCAAAAATGATTAGTGGAACTGCTTGTCTCGTCTGATCAACTGGAACAAAATGACTGTTAAAATCAAACTTCCTCGAGATCCCTGACCTCTGGTCACCTCCAGCTGAGCCAGCATCCAGCTTTTCCCAAGAATAGACTAGACTGGCCTCAGGGAAGACATTCTCCAACCTACCAGCCTATCAGGCCACCTCTGATTCCATTTCCCCACACTGCTTCTTTCTAGCTTTGTTCATTCCTCTTTTCAGAAGCTTGTAGATCTTAGGGTCACCTCCTTCTCCCCAGTTCAACAGTACCTTCTCCCAGCCTTCTAGGATGTCTCTTGCCAGACTTTCAAATTAAGTCTCTCCTTACTAAGTCTGAACTTGCTTTTTATGTGATAGTAAAATTATTGAAGAAAATAAGTAATGAATGAATGGGTGTGAATGCTTGTCAAGCAATGAGTATTCTTTGTAACTCTTTCCTGTGCTGCTGCAATGATAATGCTATTGCTTTCCTTCTGAGCCTATGTGGTCTCTGTCTTTTGACCTCTGTTGCTTCTGCCGGTTGCAACACACTCCTCTGTCAGCCATTACTATAAGCTTAATCTGTCAATATTGTCATACAGTTCTGACCTCTCCCTTCATTTTGGCTTAAATCCTACCTTTGTTATAATTCAGTCTGGATCCTAATCCATTCAGACTTTTTCCTGGCTTAGGTTCAAGAAAAGCTGACTCTGTTCCTACAATCAAAATTGAGTATGCGAGTTAGCTTTGAAAAGGCCTGATAGCTACCCATTGCAAAAAGTTAGTGAACAGGCATTCCACATGCAACAATTGCATGTAAAGTATTGGAAGTAGGAATTTGAAATTCATGCCTCTGGACAATAAAATCAGCCATGTTTTATTTTAAATTGGTAGAATAATGACAGAAGTTTGGAGAGAAGCATTTTATGGATGGATATTGATTGGGATAAAGATTACGAGCATTGGTTTTTTATGTGTGAAATTTCAGATATTGGCAAAAGCCATAAATAATATAATATATGAAAAAGTACTGAAATTAGGTTTTTGGGAGACATTTGGATTCTATTATTTAAAATCTTTGAAAAATGCTGTGATCTGTAAAATGAAATCTTGGAACACAGTACATTTTTGCAGTACAGATATAGTTTCCAAATTTTGGGTAAAGACTAATATTTTCTCACCTTTATAAAATACATTAATTGGATTCTCATTTGATTTTACAACTTCATGTTAATTATAGAATACAGATTGGCATATTTAAAATTTTCAATGTTTTGAACATCTAAGTACATAAAGTACAGTTTTAAACTTATTCTTTCATTAGATGAAGGTATATGTTGAAGAAAAATGAGTAGATGATGAAAGTTCTGTATTGGCACCCTGCATAGGCACAAGATATTCATATATAAAAATGTGATTAAGATAATGTTAAATTATAGAGTAATTTTTACAGTCTTGTTTTATAGATTAACAAATACAAACTTCACCAGACATTAAAATCCATTATTTCAGATAAGTAACAATGATTTATAAGAGCCAAGTGGTAGATTTAACACAACCTCACATTTTAATAAAAGTGTTACAAAGTTTTAGTTATTAAAAATTCAAAAAGGTTAACATTTTAGATATAAAAAGAGCAAGGCACAAATCGATTTAATGGGAGATAGAGGGTAAAGCATGCAATGCTTAGACTTTAAAAATCCAATTATTCCTATTGCTCTGCATATATTAGGCAGTCATATTTTAGTGCTATCCCATGCCTCACTTGTCTTGTTGCCTCTTATCAGACCTCCTGTTTGCATTTTAATTGACTTGGGGAAAAGCAAAGGGGAAAAGAAAAGGAAGTTGTAAAATTAAAGAGAGGGCTGTGCATATTTGAAAGCACATATGTGACCCCCCTCTGACTATGTTATGCCAATGCTTTAAATATCATTCCGCTCTAACAGTCAGATCCCTATCAGTCTGACCAGTTTTAAACGTCACTTCCAAATTTAAATACATTATTTTGTGAAAGTTTATGCCACCACTCTTAAAAGTACTTAATAAACACAAAAATCATAGCAGAGTTACTTGGAAACACCTACTAGGCTATACACACTTGCCACATGCTAAAAGAATAGGCTACAATTTTGTTTATGTTGTTATGTTTCACACCTATTTAATGTCTGCAAACTTTTATGTTCTAATCTGAAAATGAGGACAGTGAGAGCAGCTTTATAAGAAGGCGACAAGAATGAAGGAAACGGTAATGCTTGGGCATGCCTGAGGAAGTAGCTTCCCTGGGAGAGTCTTACGGTGTTTTGTTAGACATTCTGAAGCGCTTTTGTAGCTGCTTCTTGGGCAGTGGTTCTCAAACTTCTGTCTCCAACCCTTTTTATACTGATAAAAATGTTGCTGAGAACCCCAAAGACCTTTGCTTCTTTGGATTATATCTTTTGACACTGACTATATTTTAGGTTAATATATATTGATTTTTTTTCAATACCTGTAATAAACTCACTGCATCCCAGAATAAACAAACGTTATATGAAAATCTAAATTTTCCAAAACAACAAATAAAGGGAGAATAATGGCATTGTTTTACGTTTTTCAAAATGCTTTAATGTGTTGCATGAGACTTAGATCCTTACCTCAGCTTCTGCTGTCAGTCTTCTGTGATGTGTTGTTTTGGTTGAAGCGTAGAAAAAGTATCTGGCTTCACGTAGATCTGGGCTGGAAAAGGTAAGACCTCGAGGTCCCCTTAAACAGTTTAGGGAACGCCTAGATGTCCTGAAGCCACCCTTGAGAATGCTGTTCCGGAAAATAGAAGCAATGGGGAGGAGAGGCGAGGCTGTGTTTCCAGCACTGGTTTGTGCCCAATCTGGGAAAATTTGATGGAAAAACACTAGAGACGCTGAGACTTACTTTTTACCTTCAAACTGCCTTTAATCTGATTCCCTGTCCATTGCCACTTTGCTCCTGCCAGGAAGATCAAAATTCTGGTCTGTACTCATTTCACAAAAGAACCTGGGAAGAGAGGATAAGAGCTACTTGGATAATAACACATTCCTATTATGCAAGTTTTACCATACAACATGAGGGAAGGGGGCAATGTGGTTTGATTTATTACTGAATATTATAGATCCTTGAAATATACAGATATGACATTTGCAGTTTCACAAATGACAGAGAAGATGCATGGCAGGTAATCATGTCACTTTTTTCAGAGGCATGAGTCTGGAACAGATGGTAAAGCTAGTGGGTAAGTGTGATTAAATCACTGACAAGAAGGCTTAGCTGACTCCCAGCACCTCCATCCCAGTGTAATTTGCAAATGGCCACTCTTATTGTGTAAACTGCTCCCAGAATATATGCAATTATTGTTGAAAGTCTTGGGATTTGAAGGCATATTGTTGTTTTGTGAAAAATGGCCTTGGGAAATTAAAAATCCAACTACTACTCTTGAAAATGGAAATAGAAAGTGAAGCTATAGTGCTCATTAAAAAAATAACTCTAGATTTTGTTTTGGTCTAATATTTATGAAATAATTAAGGACCCAAGTATATCATTTAAATTTAAGTTTTATTGCATTTTATGAAGGTAATTAGATGTAATTGTGGTATTCACAAATTTGGCCATTTGGAAATGTCAGAAATCTCCTGTTAAATCTGTATTTATATTTAATGTTAGATTAATCAGTGTTGTTGTTAATTCTCAGCTTTGTATGGCTTTGAAATCTTTGATTAAATCTATTCTTAGGAGAAACTGAAAAGTACTGATTGTTGGTTATAGTTGCTAGAAACTTTATAGAAACTTTACAAAGCAAAAAAGAAACAATATCAAATAGAATTTTTTACTTTGTTATGTAAAATTTTGTGTACTATGTATTTTAAGATCATCTATGAAGGACTGTATTTAAAAGGCATCAAATAATTGCCTCACCTGTATAAAGTGCTATCTAAGTGTTTGCTATTTTTACGCTTTCTTACAAACACCAATTTAATAAAAGAAGAAGAGAAAAACAAAACAAGATAATTTTTTGAGTGCCTGCTCTGTACCAGTTACTTTTTTAGGCATTTGAGATAGACTGCCTAGAACAGAACTAGATAGTGTATGTTACACATCACAATATTTTATTGCGTAAAATTCTCCAAATTCTTACAAAAATTCCTTTTTGATTTCTCTGTGTCTATATGTGTGTTTACTGTAACTTATTCAAATTTGCTCTCACTGAAATATATTATTGTATGTGGCAATTCCCAGATGTTTATTTCCATCTGAAATGCTAAACCAACTATTTCTTAATTACTGTTAACTGATGATGGAAGCTTAGACAGTATAAACTTTATTAATAAACTTACTAAGCAAGAAAAAGATAATTTGGCAAAATCTGTTGACAGGTTCATTCTCTAGCGATACATTATATTTTGATTATTTGTTGTTTATTGATACTCCTTCATTTCTGATAGAGGAAATTTTACACATATAGGTGAAAACACATCAACTTATTAACTTTAATAAAATACAAGATGTAGAATATGATGTTTAAAAATAAAAGACTATAAGATTTTTATACTGTTTAGCTTAAATGTATAACTAAATATATTATAAGAATGCTAACACATTTTTAGAAAGTCTTGAATCCTTGGTCTAGATTTTCTTATATCTAAGCTGCTTAGAACTTTCACCTAGAAAATCAGCCTTAGATGATTTTAAATGGTTTAGCTTATCTATAGCCATCTAAAAACTTGCTTGGGACTTCTGATTCTGGTTATATATAGTATCAGCTAATTGAAGATTATCAAGGTATTGTCTGCTTAAGACATGGAAACACCTCATGTTTGGCTAATTTTAGTGGCATATGAGTTTTTTCATTTTTAAACAGTACGATTTTTTATGTAACCTGAAAGTTAACTCACTGCTACTCCCTCACCCAAAACCTTCTCAGACGCCCCATTCACACCTCTCACATCCAGTCATAATTAAACACTCTTTCTGTGTTCTCACAACACTGTGTACATATCACTATTACGGAATTGGTTATAGCTTAATATGCTAAAACGGGATGGCAAATTTTAGGGAACCAAAGCCTTCTATTAGTTTCTTCCTCTAATACTTCAGGTAGTGCCAGAAATTAGTAAACCCCCAACAGGCATTTATGGGGATCAATGGATTAATCTTGAAGTGGCTTTTTTACGTAAAAGCATAATAAAATTAACATGATTTTTAAAAAGCTGTCATATGGCATGTGCTGGATGTATTTTATTTTCTGTCCTTTATCTTCTTTATCCTTTGGGGAAGCATTCTCACTACATTCTTGTTCCATATGGTTAAAAGAGAATAATTCAAACTCCCTACCTTAGGGGTGAGCATATGATCCAGGACTTTTGGAGTTTCTTTTTCACCCAATTGCCCAGTTATGAGAACCAATGTATTCCTTTATTTTGCTTTTGATAATTCTAATGGAGTGTCACACACATTTAATAGCATCCTGGCTAATGTAACATCTGCATTTTAGAATTCGTCCATCAGAAATATTTATCCAGTTCATGTTCTTTAACACTTTCTGAACTACAGCTTGATATGCATATGAAATTCTATTTTATTGCCTCTCTTACTACAAAAGTTTTTAACTCTCACAAGTAGTTTTATTTATTTTTCTTTGCACAGTATTTCAAGTGTTTTGCACGGAGTCAGTTACTTTTAAACATAGTTTTTATGAATGATGTTTTCTTTGCAACTTGTCTTACTTCTTTCTTGAATGTCTAATATCTAAGGCTTTGTTTTGCATTCTTTTCTCATGCTTGCCATTTGTCTTGATGTTCTTCGATGATTTTTTTCCAGCCTATTTTTCTTACTTAAAGAAAGACATAGACACATCCATTTTAAATTTCTGCAATATTTATCTTAAAAAAAACCCACACGATGGTTAAAGTAAGATGTCCCACTGCATATCATAGATATTGGTAATGGCTTATCTTTCTAAGTTTCTTTATTAAAAGAGAGAAACTGCTAAAGAGTAAATATTTGTTTTTATTTTCATGGATCTCTTTAGCTTTTGACTCCCCCGTGATCACTCAAAAAAGAAATAAAGTGACATTTTTACTTTCCAGAGCCTACACACAGCCAAAAATGGCTTTAGAGCTCTATGCATCAGTGAATGCTAAAGAAAGAAAAATATTTCATGTTATTTTTAGTGTTTGCATGTTAGCATTTCAATTACATGCTTATTAGTGTACATTCTTCTTAAGTTTGGGGTTGGTTTTGATGAGTGTGGTAGCATAATATTTTTTAGAATGTTTTATTACAAAATCAGCCAATACTGTTTAAGAATTACATTAAAATTGGCAAACTGCCAATTGAAAAAAAACATTAAAAGTGGATAGTAACTGAATGATTATTTTAATTAAAAATATATGTTTGTGCCTAGTGACATCATTTTTACAGAAAAGTGGTATTGAATGTTTTAGGGTACATCCATCTCGCAGCTTAGACATTAAAATGTGTTGAGAAATTAATTTCCTTGCTATTCCTTTTTTATTTTTGAAATGGAACTTCGCTCTTGTCACCCAGGCTGGAGTCCAGTGGTGTAATCTCGGGTCACTGAAACCTCCACCTTCTGGGTTCAAGAGATTCTCCTGCCTCAGCCTCCTGAGTAGCTGGGACTACAGGCACTTCTAACCATGCCTGGCTAATTTTTGTATTTTTAGTAGAGACGGAGTTTTACCGTTTTGACCAGGCTCTTCTCAAACTTTTGACCTCAGGAGATCTACCCACCTCAGTCTCCCTAGGTGCTGGGATTACAAGCATGAGCCGCCACTCCCTCGTTACTATTCTTGAGCACAATGTAGTGAAATGACCTATTTGGAGCCAGAAATTAACCAGCAATCTATACAAGCTCTTGTTAATCTTTTCATTCAAATTATAACCTTAAATTTTAATCTCAGAAGAAAATTTTTATCACTCAATCTGTGAAATACAGGATCCAAATAAATAGTTTTTGCTTTAATATTTTTTACACTTCATAATTGCTTACCCTGTAGAATACTTATTGCTAGTAATGTAATTATTATAAACAGTACCTGAAACATTGATTTCTAATCAAGTTCCATGACTAACCAATCTAAAACATACATTTTCAGGAGATTCACCCCAGGGTTATCTATCCATGGATTTTCTTTCCCATTACACTTTAAAATTGACTGGGAGCTCCTATAAAATGCTTACTGGATGTGCCTCATAACAAATAAACAGTAATCTTTGAAGGTAGGACATTGGGTTATACTTTTTAAAACTCTGCAGATAATTTTAAGGTGAACCAAGATGAAATACTATTTTTTGAACCAAATTAATGTTCAGAAACATGTTATTCAATTTTTAATCATTTGTTGAGAACTAATTCCTTGACAAAAAAGACATTCACTTTGTGGTTAATGTCAAAATTTTTCATAATGTCAAAAATATTTCATATTCATTTCTTAATATGAAATATGTTGTAGAAATCCCTGATAATCACAAACATCTGCATTTTAAAAGATTTCCATTATTGTGAACTATTTATTATTATTATTTGGATCTTCCTGGGGAGGCTTTATCTCACTGGGAGGTAATCCATGTTAAGTTTTAATTCACAAAATGAAAGTTCTTGAGAAAGGGTTGAAGCATATAGGTCATTAGCAAAAAGTTGATGTTGAAATATTCACTGACGTATCCATTATAATAATGAATACTAAATTAGTATAAGATTTATTTTCCTAGAATAGTAATTTTCCCATGCAAGC